AAGGAAACACAGCTCTTTCATAACAGCACTGATGAATTGTGCTCTATTATCACTGATAAGACACCTTGGAAGACCATACCAGAGAACAACTTCCTCAAACATTGCACATCCCTTTGCTATCGCTTCACTAAGAGAAAACAGTTCAACCCACTTTGTGCAAAATCTTCAATGATGTGGATCAATTTCTTGCCATTCTTACTGAGAGGCAAGAGTCCGAAAAGATCCAATGAGTGAGTTTCGAAATGCTGGGCATGGATTAGAGTTTACAATAATACAGAAGATTTCTTATTGGAGAGTTTATACTCATTACACCCAACACAATCCTTGATGTAGTTGACAATAAATGAGCACATTCCCTTTCAAAAGTATCTTTTAGATATCCTATGCAAAGTTCCTTCAACACAACCCCATAATGCTCATGGAGAAGCGTCATGATGTCGTTTCAGAATTAAAACGTTCATGTGATGGAACTACAAATTGAGCTTTTTCTAACTCTGAGTGTGGAATATCTATACAAAACACCTTGATTCAGAATGTATCCCTTTTCTGTCCAATTAACATAGTCAGTACTTTTTCTGAAATGTCAAAACAGCTGATTATCTTTCTCAGTTTATCTTGAAATTGCCGGTCTCTGATTTCACTCAGACTTCTCGAGGGAAGATAAATAGAAATAGTATCTAACTCATAAAGTTTGGGATTTGGTGTTGAGACCTGGACAGCATATCTGTCCCTACATTGCTTTTCCCCAGAAAATATTCATTTCAGGTTGAATGCTTTCAGTTGTAATGCCCATCTCGCTAAACAACCTGTTGGGGACTTGAGACTTGTGAGCCATTTGAGGGGTTGATGATCAGACACTATTGTAATGTCAGAGCCTTCAGTATACCCCCCAGAACTTATTTGATGCCCAAACAATGGTGAATGCTTCTTGTTCTGTCATTGAATAAGTCCTTTAAGCAGAATTTAATAGTCTGCTTGCATATTCGATTGGATGTTCATCCGATGGACTGTCTCCTTGTAGCAGAACCGCTTCGAAAGCATAATTACTTGCATCAGTACTCAGAATGAAAGGTTTAGGCTAATCAGCCTGCTTTAGAATAGGTGGATTAATTAGGTATTTCTTCAGAGTTTGAAAAGCATGGTCTTATCTTCCCCAAGACCAAAGAGCTTTCTAATTTGTAAGATTGTTCAATGGTCTGCCAATTTTGGCAAAGATTGAATGAATTTGCAGTGCTGTGAGCATATTTGTAAAAATGACTGTATTTGCCATACATCCTTAGAAAAAGAAGTTAACAGAAGAATGGTTGTCTTCTCAAAATCAGTTTCAGTTGTATTACAGGTGAGCCAGTCCAAGATACTTTACTCAAGGGCATCCAAATCAACATTTCGATCTATTGGCAAAGCTCCAAGTAGGTGACAGGATTATGATGTCATCCAAAAAAACAAAAAACAAGCAATTTTACAGAAGGAAGTCTACTTCAGAAGTGTTCCATGAGCCTTTGGAAGGTTGCCGGAGCATTCCGCAACCCGAATGGCATTCTTTTAAACCTAAAGATATCAAATGAGCAAAAAAAAAGGAGTTTTGTCTCTATCAGAAGGGTTTACTTCTATCTGACGGTACCTAAACTTCAGATCAACTGTGGACATGAATGGTGTCATTTTAGTGTGATGTAAAGTGTGATCCAGCAAAGGCAAAGGATACTTGTCTGGGATAGTGATACCATTGAGTTTCCTATAGTCTACATAAAGTCTGAAATCACCACTAGGTTTTCGGACTAAAACAATGGGAGGTACATACAGTGAGTGATTCACACTTTTGCCCTTCTGGAGATCATCTAGTTCTTTTTGTAAAATTTCCTTTTTATAAGGGGAAAGTCTATAAGGAGATACTGCAATGGGGTATTAATGTCTCTGCCTTGTTGAAAGATTCTTTGAAATGAACATAATAAAGAATCCAATTAATCTCATTGAGAATGTGTTAGATTCATGCCTTCTTCAGGAAGAAGAGAGCATATTTCAACCATGAAGTTTACTCTGTGTCTTTCCTTCTTTAGTAGAATTCTGAAGTCGAACACAACAGTTGCCAAGACTCCTCAGGATAAAACCAACTGTTTTGATGAAAAAGTATAACAATATGTATTTTTGTAAAAAAGTCAGCTCCTGAAAGAGTTCGATTTCTTCTTGCATGGGGTAGAAATAACATCTTACTGACAATAATTTGGCCATTTAATATGATTGATGCTGCCATCTGTAGAACATTAGACTTGAAGGTATAACAATCAGCCAGGGAAATTTTACTCTGTTGAACCTCAAATTGCTCCTCATGTTTTTGGAATTATTTAACCGTTTTGAGTCCCTGGGAGTATTGAAAATGTACTGTCGAAGAATCCCAAACAATGCAACCGTGCTTTCTCTAAATGAGTACAAAAAGACCCGAGCAGCACGGTTGTGCTTGTCTTACTTAATGTGAAGAAATACTAAGCAGCGCTTTGTTTATTTTACATCGATGAATCCCAATTGGAGCAATAGCACTTCTTGTATTTGTTAGGTGACACGATTCTCATCTTTTTCTCATCGTTCTACCACATTTATGCAAAGCAATCGGACGTTTTCTTGCGTAAGTGTTTCTCGTTTTGTCCCCAATGTTCGAAATGAACTGGGTTTTCTCAACATAAAATCCTAACAGTGGGATCGGGTTGGGACTCAAACAATTAAGCAACATCTCTTCTCCTACAGATTGGCTAACTCCTGTATCAAGATAAATAGGAAAGTCAGCATATAAGGACCTGACCGAATTGTCAGGAGGCCCTTGTCTTGTTTATTGAAAGGACAATTTGGGCACTTGTTATTTAAGACTCCTGTAGTGGCACAACCATAGCATCTTACCGAGAGTTCAAAGCTTTTCCTTGTGTTTGCACTTCTCTAACCTACAGCAAAGCTCTCTCTGTTTAAAGAATGACCATCTGACTTAAAACTTGCCTGAGCTTTTCCTCGATCTTCCAGAGATGCACTCCTTACGTTATAGGCATTAAATTATCCTAAACATCATGGAAAAGCAGTTGCTTCCATTCATCCAAAAAGTTTTTTTGCAATTTTTTACAAGTGTGTTTTACTACTTGGCCCGAAATCATCAAATTCTTTAGCTGATCAAAATTGTAATATTTTAGTTCAGGAAACCAACCTTCATGATACGACCAAAGTAAAATTCCTTCTAAGAGCCACCAGGATTCTTCTTAGTTTCTGCGACCAACCTCCTGAATTTTTTTGCTGTCATCTTATTTTGATTGAGAAGGACACTTTTTATATGAGCATAATTCTGAAATTTTTCCTCCAGTTCCATAGCAATCAGCTTAGATATCTCTGATGGTAAAATCCCAAAATGATGAGTTACCCATAAGCTTTCTTCAAACGTCAACACTTTTATTTATCTCTCAAACATAATTAGAACTTTTTTTAACCAATAGTGGGCCTTCAGCCGACTGTGATTTAGCCACTATTAAGGCCAGAAGTGGTGATCACCTTATTATAGAGGCACCTAATAGATGGGCCACCTTTGCCTCCTATGAAGGGATGGACAGTTACAACTATGCCTTCATCATAATGGTAAATAATATTTGATCCTGTTAAGATTTATTCTCTTGCTGTTGTTGAAAGTATTAACTTAAAATTAGTTACTTATTCTTAAATTTTATTTACTTGTACCCACTAAACCTTCCCCACTTTCTGGCATCCCTTCTAAATCGTGTGGCAGTGAAAAGAGTCTCCTCCCCTCTACTTGCATGTGAACTAACTCGCACTTATTGCAGCCAACCAGCTTTCTTCTGGACCAAAAGCCACCTGCTCCACCAACAGGAAAGCTTCCTGCCTACTGACTCCATCTCCACAGCCAGTTCTCCTCAGACAAGCTTTTTTTTTTTTTTTTTTTCCTCCCTCCTCTCTCTATTTATGTATAACGGACAGTTACATACATGCCTTCTCTGAACCCGGGCCTTTGGTATTGCAGTCAGCTCCCCTAACCACTATCCCGTCTGGGCAGCCAGAACTAGAAATATACTGAGATCATATTCTTCAGGCTTGAAACTTGGCAGAATCTTCTGACAGCCAAGTACAAAGCTTTGGACAGGAACAGGATCTCATTCCTTTTGAATTTCCAGGATCAAATGTAACTTTTCCAGTTCATATTCCTGATTTTTCCATTCTTGTTCCTCCTTATCCCATCAAATCTCATATTCAATACAACATGACATTAAGGTCTCAAGAGTTTTTTCACATAGCTCTCATCTCTCTTAAATTCATTCGAGTTAGTTAACTATTAACTGTTATAACTCAAACGCTTTAACTTAACTGTTTACCATTAGTCCAAGTTCTGAGGACAACATTACGAGGTCGGCCTTTCTGGCTTTTCCAAGAAATGACATAATGCTTAGAATGGCTTTACATGATAGTCTCAGATGACTCGTAATTTTCCATTGGGCACCACATGTAACAGGTATACCAAACAAGAACATTTATTTAAGCATCATCATATAACAATCCATCACTATCCAAAATCCAAGTCTCAAACTAGCTCCTTGAATTAAAAATCTAAAGAACAAAAAATCATTTCACTGTTTCCACTGAATCTCTGAAAAGTGAAAGCGCACACAACTGGTTTACCTGTTACAATGCATATATTGACTAGTTACCTCTGAGAAAATACTTCATGAAGACATGCCTTTCCAGCCAGATAGCTTTTAATGTGTTTTGATATAATTAATTAAACTTACCTAACGCATATTCTCACTTAGTCTTCCTTTCAGATTCAGTTATTATTTTCTGTTGAAAAGTAAATTGAGAGATTTTCTGTTAAATTGAGTATATGAGGCTGAAATATTCACAACTTTGACACGTAAATTCAATGTTAAATAGTTTTGTGCATGCTATTCTTAAATCTCTTTTTTAAAAAATGAGATATATTTAGAATATTTTGCATTTACTTATTTTGTTCTTATATTTGGTAGGTAAATTAAGAGTTGTTGTCGCTACAGTTGCTTTTGGTATGGGCCTGGATAAGAGAGATGTACGAGCAGTTATACATTACAACATGCCCAAAAGCTATGAAAGTTATGTTCAGGAAATTGGACGAGCTGGAAGGGATGGTTTGGATTCACAGTGTCATTTATTTTTGGATTCTGAAGTAAAGCTTATTTTTCTTCTTTTTTCTAATTATGCATATCTATTTATGCATTATAGAATCATATTTCTTTCTAATTATGTTTTGAGACCTGGTGGCGCAATGGCTAGTGTTTCGCACAACAGCACCACAGGTCCGGGGTTCTGTCCCCAGGCTGGGCAAGGTTCATTCAGCCTTTCATCCCTTGAGTGGGTCGATAAAATGAGTACTAAATTCGCTTGGGGACTAAAGGGCCCTGTTACAAGCTGATCACTTATCTAGGATATATGCTCATGTGCCTCAAGGCCCCTTGTCAGGGCACATGCTCATGCACCCCGGGGCACATGGTCAGGAAGGTAGATATTGAGGCACATCAGGCCATGGGCCCACTAGGCTTGTTGCGCCACTGAGCTTAGTTTATTTTAGTTTTGAGTTTTGTGTTTAATTTTAAATGCTCAATGCATCAAACACATATTGTAAAATACATCATAAAACATAATTTTAATAAAATATATATCAATTTTTGTTAATTTTGCTTTTCACCATTCTAAATATAAGTAAATTTATTTTTAATCCAACAGCAGCTGCACTACACCTTGTGAAATACAGCATAAAATATAATTTTAAGGGAAAATATGTCAATGTTCTTTTTAATTCTGCTTTTCACCATTTTAAATTTAAGTATATAAGTAAATTTATTTTTAATTCAATAGCAGCTGCACTACATCTTGGGAAATATGGCATACAATATAATTTTAATGAAAAATATTTCAATGTTCTTTTTCATTTTACTTTTCACCATTCTAAATATAAGTATATAAATAAATTTATTTTTAATTCAATAGCAGCTGCACTACACCTTGTAAAATGCAGCATAAAATATAATTTTAATGAAAAATATGTCAGTGTTCTTTTTCATTTTGCTTTTAATCATTTTAAATTTAAGCATATGATTTCAAAAATAAGTTTTATTTTTAATTCAATAGCAGCTGCACTAGCTTTTAAGTAATATATAACTTGTTTTAAAATATTCAGGTATAGTAAGCAGAAATCAAGCAATTTTGAAAGTGCCATGTTTAACTCTGAAAACAGAAGCCTTCCCTAACCTGTATGTTAAAATACCGAACCGCCTGAAATGGTTTTCAACAGTCATAGCAATTTCCTCCCCTCCTCATCCATTAATGCACAAAGAAGAGTGAAGATTTCAAATGACATCCTTTCTACTTCTACTAAATAAAGATAAGAAATCATAAATAAATCCTTTTAGGACAAGTTCTCTGCAATAAACTCATACAATGTTTTGTTTTAAATAATGTGTTTGAGGAAACTGTGCCTGCTACTGCATATGCTAGGGCAGTGTTGCCTAACCTTTGGCCTCTCGCGAGCACATTTCCAAAACATCAACATTTTTGTTAAACAATGTCATTTTCAATCTTATGTGATACATCTGAAATATTAAGTTTGGCAAATGGGTTTGAGATGAATAATAATATTGGTTGAAATTTATGGAAATCAGAGAATTGGAGTTCAAAATTATTTTTCAGTGCATTTAGGTTTTCTGAGTATTTCTCTGTTTCAGTTACTTTGTCAGGGTTTGTATGGTCCTTAAGAGTCCTTAAAAGTCTTTAGATTTTTGGTCCTTAAAAGTCCTTAATTTTGCCCAAACTCAGCAGAAGGTCCTTAATTTTAATCATTTGAAATTTCTGCCTGTTTTTATGACTGCCATTTTGAGTGTGAATTAGCATGTTGGGGGATTATTTTTGGCGATTCACTGACATATATGGTTATCTTTTGAATGGGTTATAATTTGTTTCTATTTTTAATATAAATGATGGAATACTCGAGTTCCTAAGCAAGAGGTGAAACATAAGCATTTTGAAATTCATTTTTTTTAATAAAGAGCTTTTAAACAACTTTTTGCTTTTGGGAATGTGAATTCTTTTATTAAACGATTCTAAATTTGGTGACTTGTCAATATTTTGGCGATTTTAAGATCAGTTTCTATAGAAAATTTTTAATTCCAAGATCAGAGACTTTTTCGACGATTTTTTTTTAAAACATCATAACATTGATAAATTTCATTAAAATAATGGTAATATATTGTATATTACCATTACAGGGTTCGTACAGTCCTTAAAAGTCCTTAAATTTTTTGAAATTGATTTTTGGTCCTTAAAAGTCCTTAATTTTGGCCAAAATCAGTAGAAAGTCCTTAATTTTAATCATCTGAAATTTCTCTCTGTTTTTGCGACTGCCATTTTGAGTGTGAATTAGCATTTTGGAGGAATATTTTTGGCAATTCACTGACGTATATATGGTTATCTTTTGAATGGGTTCATGGGTTATAATTTGTTTCTATTTCTAATATAAATGATGGGATACTCGAGTTTCTAAGCAAGAAGTGAAACATAAGCATTTCGAAATTCATATTTTCTAATAAAGAGCTCATAAACAACTTTTCGCTTTTGGGGTTGTGAATTCTTTTATTAAATGGTTCGAAATTTGACAACTTGTCAACAGTTTGGCGATTTTAAGATCAGTTTCTATAGAAAATTTTTAATTCCTAGATCTGAGAATTTTTCGGCGATTTTTTTAAAAAATCATAACATTGATAAATTTCATTAAAATAATGGTAATATATTAGAATTATATTTAAAAAATAACATTAAAATAAAAAATTTTTATTTTTCATTGTCATATTATAAAGTTTCATTTTGGCAACTTATTATACACTATTTTAAATCTGAAAAATAAACAATGTATACAGCTATAAAGCATAATTTACAAAAAAGCTCTTAGTAAAAGCAAAATTACTATGTAATTAATTAAAATGTCTTCTTTTTAATTTTTTCATAGTAAACGTTTTTCCCATGTAATTGTCTCAGATTATTCAAAATTCTCAGAATATGCATCAGTTTTTTCTATAAAATTAATTTTACACTTTTTCCTTCCTTTTTTTTCAAAATATTTCTGGCTTTTTGCTGTTACATGATTGGCTGGGATAATTTTTCTTTAGTATTTTTGACATTGCAGCATGGAAAGTCTAGAAGGATTTGAAGGCAAGATTTATAGACCCATGATTCTAGAAGATTCGAGAAATATGTGACAAAATGAAAAATGTCTCCATGGTATCAACATATCAACACATAATGGATACATTTTACAGAAAGTTTGCAATGAATTTCTTACTTTTTAGAGAACGTCTGGACGAACAATGGAAACATAATATTTGAATGTTTTACTCCTGATACTAGAATCTTTTTTCTTAACATGTTTATCTTCCCTTTATTTTCTCTACTTTTCACTAGACAAAAACATGGAAAATATCAAAAATGCTTCTAATCTTATCACTTGGGCAGGCATTATAGAAAGAGATTTTTTTATTAATAGAGAAATTGAAAACTTACAATTTAAAAGATTCATCTAATGTGTCTAAATGCATTGTACACAGAGCTGGTGCTATGCATTTTCCCACCTGATGCAATCTCTGTGTATCCTAAATTCTGCTGCCTAGTGCCGATCTAAATTCTGCTTCCAATGCTTGCTCTAAATTCTAAAAAGTTTTGCCATTTCTAGATTTTGTTGTTCTGTGTCACTAAATTTTAAAAATTCTGCCACACCTGCTCTGTAACCGTCCTTTACCATATATATTTCATATTTCTTCTGAATGTTCATATTACTAAAGAAATAAAATTAGCCGCTTTTTCTGTACATTCTAAATGCATTTAGTGTTTTTTAGAATAATAGAAATCCTTAATTAAATGCAAAATTTCTAAAATTAAAAGGAAACGCGTTGAAGAAAGAAACCGAATACATAAAGAAAATTATTCTTCAAAGATAAGTGCAGTTATTATTATGTAAATTACCCAATTGTTTATCATTTCAGCCTTTACTATAACTTCCCATTTCTGTTTCCTCATATGATAGAGTTACTGAGCCAGATTAAATTGAAATTAAATTGTATTATTTTTGACCACTAGTCCACATTTTTAGTTTGGATTTGACTGTTCTTGTTTAATTACGTCACCGTGAGCTGCAATTGACTTTGTTAGCATCAGAACATGCCTTTATGTTTGTTTTAAGTTCTTTTTAAAGAAAGACTTATTTAAACCTTTGTCTGATATTGTAGTTACTTTCAGATACAGTGATAATTTGCTTCACATCTATCGGGGGGGACTATTTAACTTTAACCAGATCAAGTAAACCCTCATAGGTACATTGTGAAGAGGTTGACAAGTTAGGAGATAAAGCACATAGAAACTAGCGAGAACATTGGTTTGCATAGGGAAAAATTTCTAATGATTGTCAGAAAAGATCAATAATTAAAGAGAAGAAAATCGATATAAACTAGCCAAAATGTTTGGGAAGGCGTGTAGAGACATTAGGTATTTTTTAAAGCAAGAACGATAAAAAATTTAACAACGGCTTCGACGGGAATCGAACCGCAGACCTCTGGAATACCGCTACCAGTGTGCAAACCACCACACCACAAAGGGTCACCAAGAAGGTGGGAGAAATACCTTATATATTCCCCCTTTTAAATGGCGACTGGGGTTTTTAGAGAATTCAATCGCCAAATCCTTTGTGTGGAGAACCCATCAAGTAACCATCAAGTAAAACTTATTCTTTGCATCTACTGAGACTTATATATAAAACAACTTATTTCCTCTGGCGCTTTAGTGGCTTATTGGAACCTTAAAGTATATTAACTGGGTTACAACCCCTGGAACTCTACACAAAGCTATAACATTAACTGCATTAAGCAGAGCTTGACTAACTTTCAACACCTGCCAACTGTGCCTACATCAGGCCTTTCAGGTTTGTTCCAATCAGCAGGTCTCTCTATAGACAAGCAGCAGAGGGACAACATTCAGTCTTTTGTTATGAATCATGCTGATTATGATCTCACTTCTCATTTTAACCTATGCCGTTTGACACAAAATCTCCCTACTATTTGCTAAACCTCTAGACTGACCAAGTATGTGACAAAATAAGACATTAAAAAAAAAAAAAAAAAAAAAGCATAAAGCTAACTATTAGTAAAACGTAAATGTCACTTATCTTCTTTTAAATATGTCCAACTATTATAAGTGTAAAATATTTAATGCTACTTGATAAACTGCATGAAATTTATTTTATTCTCAAACTTATTAATAATTATGTTAGTTAATTCATGTTTAGTAATAATGCATACTACTTAGGGATCTATTTTATTTTTAGGATGGCATTACAAAAGTGAAATTCGGGCATAGAATAATATTTTTAATTGAATTTATTCAGTTTCCATTTGCTCATAGGTCCTTAATTTTTTTCATTAATGGTCCTTAAAAGTACTTAATTTTTGTGTGCAGAAATGTGTACGAACCCTGTTATTGTAAAAATTCTTTTTTGAATTGTTTTAATTGTATTTGGTGTTTTGTCTTCTATATATTTTTTTAAATTTTAATGAAGATATTTTGAAGCTTTATGTACTTTTGCTTTGCTGCCAAGTGAGACTGAATTAATTGAATGAGTAATCTATCTCTAATGAAATTCAAAGAAATAATTTTAAATGAAATTCAGGAATAAATGCGTTTAATTTAATATTTCGTACAAGGAAGTCATGTGGTGTACACATCAGATTTTTTATTCTGTAATGTTTCCATAATTCTATGGGTATTGTATGCCATAAAAATTATATGAGAATTAGTATGGTGAATTATTCATTAGAGTACTACATAAAAATTATACTTATAGTATTTACCTTCTTAAATTGTCTTTGCTTTGTTATAATTTTTTTCAACTATTCGTAATATTTGACACTGCTGTTGGTCATTACATTCTAATTGAATTATTTAGTATGCAATAAAATTTCACAGCAGGTTCTTAAGTAGTTTCAAATTTATATTTTCTTTAGAAAATATCTAACCTACTATTTCTTGTTTGTAAAATGTGTGTAATCATTATAATGAGCATAAGGTGTATACAAGAAATTTGAATTAAGCTATTTCTGTCTAAATTTTTTTATAAATGTATAGTGGTTAATTTTTTAATACTATTATTATTCACTTTATTAGGGTAATGATCTGTTTGAACAACAAAGGCATATATATTCAAACAGCACTGATCGCAATGTTATAAGAAAATTACTAAGAAAAGTCTTTGTACCCTGCAAATGTCATTCTTTAAATGAAGAATTAAATCGGAATTCAGGTCATGTAAGTACTTATTTATTTATTTTACAAAAAATTATTTATAATCCTGTCAGTTTCAAAATTATTCTTCATTTTCCAGGGTTGCCTCACTACCTGAAAACCCGGGAAAGATCAAGGAATTCGAAAATTTGCCAAAAAAGTCAGGGAATTTAACCCTTAAAAGCATGTAGTTGCTATTTGGCAACATGCTCATATTTAGTCATGTAAATCAAATCGAAACACAAATTTTAGCTTACTGCATAGTGTAACTAATTGGATACATACTGTTTACATATATAGTTTTGAAAGTTTCAATGTGGTTTCACCACTAAAGGTGTAACGGTCATTAGTGTGAATTGATGTGGACATCATTCACACTAATCATGTTAGTGGACATCATTTCTGTTTATGAATTTTTGATTTTGTGTTTGTTGTTATTTTGATGTATTCAAAGTTTTAAAATTCTTTGAACAGGTTTATAAGGTATGGTTTTTGGTGCTTAAAATTGTTATTACACATTTACCTACCATATTTTTTGTAAAAGTGAATATTTTTTTTAAATTGAAATAAAAATTTAGTTTAGATTTTTTAGTATTTTTCCTATTTTATTTGATATCAATTCTAATGTATTTTTGAATTCATGCATTTAAGGGTTAAATATTTTAGCCAAAATCTGGAAAAGTCGGGGAATTTGATACGGCGATCCCTAAAAAAAAAAGTGATTTTCACACCAACATTAGAAGCGATCACTTTCTTGGTGAATTATGCGTTATTTGGACAGCTGGCATAGAGCCAATTTTCATAGCACCAATCAGATTGTCTTTTAGATAGATAAAGCAAGGTTAAAGCATCTTTGGTCAAAGTAACCTCGAGAATTTTGAGATTCGTATGTGCATTGCATTTTGATTGAAAGTAAATCCCCCCCCTCCCCAATGCTCGTAAAGAACAAAATCGTATGTTCTTTCTTAAATGCCTTATTTTTCATTTTGCAATAAAATAAAGAAAATAATAATAATAAATCATTTAGGCTAACCATTTAATGTACCTGTATTCCCCAAAATACCATCAATTGTTGTAATTCATTTTTTGATCTTTGAGTAATTAACTTTATTTTAACATTATTAGTTAATGTGGCATCTTCCTTCTTAATTTATTTATTATTAGTAAATAATACTTTCAAATTCCAGGCAATTTTCTCTGGCGTAATCTTGAAACTAATTCTAGCAGTATGATGTCATATCATCACGAAATTTAGTGCACATATTTTTTACTTATGTATGCTGTTAAGTTAAATATAAAATACTTGAATTTATTTTAAAATATCATTAAATAGTTTTTTTTTTCTTTCTTACCTGCAAAATGCTTGCAGAAAAGACATTTTTGAATCCTGAATGGGAAGATTCAAATTTCAGTGGAAGAACAACTCCTATTATAGTTATAATAGTAATGGTTTGGGGATTGTTTTACATATATAAGTGATACATAATTGGTAAATTTTTGTGTTTTCAAGTGGTACTATAATTAATTTACTCTCAGCACAGAAAACACACACTAAGCGGTTAGCCTGCAATTTTCTTGAAATATACATGGAAAAGTCAGGGAATTTCATTCTCCTGTTCAAGTGGCAACCCTGATTTTCTGAAACGTCTCTTTTTCAAATGAATGCATTTAAAATCATATGACCTGTCAAAAAACTGAAAGGGAAAAAGGATCAGTGTTTTTAATTCACTTGGTTAAAGCTGTGTTGCAAAGATCAGAGGGGAATCAGTTCTATGCAATGCATGAAATTTCCTTGATACCCAAAAAATAAAATTCAAACAGAATTTTTAAATGTAATCCTAGTCAGTGCTGTTCTTTTTTCAAAACATATACTACATCTTGGTTATTATAGAATAATGCCTTTTTTAATGACAAAAAAGGGATGTTAATTATGTCCTTCAAGGCGAGGGGTCACATGAGGGTCCTCACTTTGCTGGAAAGAGGGAAAGTCCCTGTATCATGATTGGGATCTTCTGTCATCACATGCTTTTCGTACCATTGGTTCTTGTGAGCAGAAATTAAGATTTGTATTGATTTGAAACCTGAAAATTATGCATGTTGAATTTTTTATTTTCACAGTAGTTTATGAATTTTGTATGAACAGAGCATATTTCATTTCTTAGTTTAAAAAATAAGATCACTAAAAACCATAGAAATGTATTTTTAGCAGAACTATATTTTTTGTAACATAGAAAAAAGTGGTCAACACGTTTTCACCTTTATCTGAGAAGGTTATGTCAATATCTTACTTATTCTTCATACATATTTAACACGACATTTGCCCCAGTATTGGAATCGTAACATTCCCCACTACTGTAATGTGACAGTTGTCCATATTACAAGAATAATTTTCGGCTTTTTTTTCCCAGCCAGTATCAATAATAATGCATATAGATTTTTGCACAAAAAATCAAGAAGAGATGCCATGAGTATTTATTACAGTATAATTATTATAATTAATTATCTATAATACTATCTTTTTCTTCTATAATTATTATAACTAATTATTAAGAAATTTCTTTCCCCCCCCCAGTGTGTACTAATGTACACACATTTAACCTCGAAGATGAAAAATATGCATGGTAATTATTAATAATTAAAATATTTATTTACTATCATAAAATTGTTATAACCAACTACGGCAATAGTGGGCTACGGCCAAAGCAATGAGTTCTATGTATACCTGAAAAGAAAATGCATAAGAACATTTCAATATGAATGAAATCAGTTCATTCTTTCCAAGCAACAACCACTTCTTAAAGAACTTTTTTGTCCCCAAAACAGGAAACAAAAACTTTGGACACTTCAGGTTAATACATATACGTATGATTTTATGATTTAAATTCAAAGTAATATAACAACTTTTTCTCAAAATCAATAAATGAATTGACATGGTAATAACATACCATGTTAATTATTTTAATCTGAAACAATAAATTGCCAACAGCAACTATTTATTTATAATGCTGACTTTAACGAAAATTGTCGACATACATTAATGTCAACTTCAGAATATGACCTTATATAATAATGTATTTAATAGTTGGTAATGCTATATTTATTTCACATTTTGTAAAACTTGAAAATTTTTCTTAAAACAAACTACGATTTGAAAGCAAGCATAGGCAACACATTTCGAAATAATGCATTTTTGTCTCTAATCCACAAGACTGTTGCCACTCGGAAGATTGAGGGTGAAAATTAATGTTTTCAGAGTTTTAAATTAATATCTTGGCTGATTAAAGTCGAATAAAGATGAGAATGTTCAAAATAGCTTTCCGTGAATTTTTGGAATCTGCGAGTACATCTCCCAAAACTCAATTTCTCACAATTCCACAATAGGAGATGATGTCACAAAGAGACAGACGTGCAGAGATTTTAATAGTAGAGATTTCTTTAATTTAATTTATTATTCACTTCTTTGGTTAGATATGAGAATGTTAATTAGTTTATATATATATATATATATATATATATGTAGTCATCATTCAAGTTTTTACATGTTTTTTTGTGAGATAACTCATATTTCTCATCAGATCAGATATAGCAAACAACCGGTTACAACGAATAAAATTCTGGTCCCTTAAAGTTCAAAGCTTGTTTCATGTGAGAGTAGCTAATTTTTAGATTACCATAAGTCTCTTTTATAGCAAGACTATTCAGATTGAACGTATGTCGACCGAACAGTTTTCCTTAACCACTTCATGCACTAACAAAAATTCAGAAAATGGTCTTTCTTTACCACCAGAAATAGTCTTAGTGTACCAGGAGGAAGAGGCATCCAGATCTGGCATTGCTCAAGAGCACAACTACTAAATTTGATGCCCTTAGAGGCTTAATTTATCTCTTTCAAATAGCTAGTCTAAGCCATCATTTCACGGATTTCTTTTCCCCTGAGTAAATGTTTCCTTTAAAGACCAGTCTGTTTGCAAACAGAGATTATTCTTGAAAAGGTTTTAAGCTGCCTATCTGTGTGTTGAAATATCCAAACGATCAATTTTTAATTAAATCCCCTGAAAAAGAAAATTTGGATAATCTTATAATTTGAATGAAATCCATATTGTTAAGAATTTTGCACTAAGATGGGTAATTTTAGTAGAATCATAGCAAGTTAAATTATTGTATTTTTCTGTTTAATATAGATGAGATAAATTTTAAGACAAAGCTATTCCAGAAAAGTGAGAATACAGGGACACGTCCATTTAACATTGAGTAAATGGCTATCTCGGTAATATGTATTGAAACTGAATAAATATAATTGACCACTATGTTAGTTGTAACCGTAGTTCCACCCTCGTATTGCTTTCCAGTAATTTCGAAAAACAGAAATTATGAGAAATATCTCACAGCTGGTCAAAAACTATTTAAAGTCGAAGAGAGAGCATCTGAGGGGGGGGGTTCAGTTACTTAATTATCATTTTGCGAGTTGTCTAGTTCCGTATAAACTGAGATATCTGAGTTAGCTTTCTCTTTAGATGTGCTTTGCATTGCACTGTATTTAACTTTCTTAGTAGTTGTATAGTGTAACTTCTGATTATACTATGTGATACTGTGAACACTTGTACAAATATTTCTTTTGACAAAAAAAAGTTTTTATTAACCTATTATCGGATATGTGCATTCAGCTTGTTACGAACCCATACGCATGGAGCAATATAATCCAGTTCTTGATAAATCATATCTGCTCTAAATGATACATAATTTCTGGGCTAATTTTTTATTGGCATATGAAAAAGACAATAACTATAAAAACAAATGTTTATTTCAATAACTAATATATCCGTGGTCCCTGAATGAGATTCATTTTTATTGCTATGAAGGCCATACTTTACTTTTAGTAACTTGGTTCAACAAGTGTAATATTTTTACGATTCTGTACTTTTAAGGCTGCTTTTTAAAAATGTTAAATTGTGATCAAATATGTAAAATTATCTTTCAAAAATCTATCAAACAAATAAAATGCAAATCCCTTGTAAAATGTAGTGAAAATTTTATTTTATTGTTTTATGAAATATATTACATAATATTAATCTTCTAGGAACATGAAGAAAGAGCAAAAAAAGCATGTCCAAAGCATGAAATAGCCTTTTCCATGAATGACACCGTACAAGAACTAGATATGAAAGAAGAAAGTAAGAAAACTTTGTTGCATAGCAAAATATTAAATGGCTTATGTGTAATAGCTGTATTTTGTGTTTCTTTATTAATCAGTTGTGAATGTTCTTAAAAGTATTTAATTATTGTTTTTAATTTATATTCCTAATTGTATTTCATAAATAATTTGCCTTTTTTATTTTAATTTGCTTTTTTTAATATTTTTATTTATTTATTGCATTTTAAAAATAAGTCAGTGTGCAGAGTCATTAGGTTTGTAGAGAAATATGATGTCATATGGCAAAAGCAGCGCCCTCACCTGCAGTAAAACTTAGTTAGATGCTAGACAGGAATGGTGCATTAACCCCTTAACTGCCGCGGGCGTATATATACGCCTTGCTCAGCCGATGCGTTAACTGCCCCAGGCGTATATATACGTCCTTCCAAACTGCTATCATTTGCTTTGCGCTGCTACACCTAAAATTATTCGCAAAGTTAACGCATCGGCTGTGCATCTGAGGCAGTTAACGCATCGGCTGAGCAAGGCGTATATATACGCCCGCGGCAGTTAAGGGGTTAAGCCATATCCTTTGGTTTGTAGAATTTTCATATGTTGATTAATTAACTGATTAACTGTAAATAATGTAAAATAAATATTTAATGTAACGTTGCTTTGAGTCAATCATAGATATACGTAGATATAATGCTCTTCATATAGAAACATAAAGTTTAGATATGGTAGAAATATCGACTTAGAAACAATTCCTTTTGTGACAGGGTTATTATAAAGAAGGAGACAAATTGTGCAATGACTTCACCGGAACTCAAACCTGGACCTCTCGAATACGTGTCAAATGTGCAACCGTTACATCACAAAGGCATGCTGAAAAGAGGGAGAAAATACATTTAACATACTCCCCCTTTTTTAAAGGACAACTGGGGATTAGGGGATCCAGTCGTCAAATCCTGGTGGTGAAGAATCGTCATCCACCACCTTTTAGTTTGGGCACCACCATAGACTATTATTATTTTTTCATGCTGAAGAAATGAAAAATGAGCAATGCTTTCTCTGGGATTCGAACCTGGAACTCTCGAGTGTGCACCAAAGTGTGCTACCACGAAGGCATGCAGAAAGGAAGGAAAAAATACCTTATAAGTGCTTGCACTCAGCATTTGCTACAGTAGCTTCTAAAACAATATTAACTTTCTTATATAATCTAGCTACTTTTTTTTTTTTTTTTTTTTTATTGCCATAAGCTGTTTTTCCCTAACAAAGATAAGTTTTTGGTATTGTGAATTTATCGGAATCTTAGAAAAAAGGCAGATTGTCAGGGCATACAGTAAATGTAATTGTGGTTTTTTAGCCCAAAGAGCATTAGCCCTGAAAGGCTATTAATTTCGTTTTGGCATTTTGCATTAAAAACTTTAAATGTCTGTCTCACTTTTCAGGTTGTTGGCACCCAATATTATCGCCCTGTGTTATATTTAAAGAAATTAAATCATGAAGAATCTCCATGAATGTATGTATGTTTCTTGCATTTTGATAGAACAACAGTTCCTAGAGCCATCAAAATTTAAATAACGTAATTCTTCCATAAAATATGGGCATGTGGAAGCCCTAATTTGAATTTGAAATTTGTTATTCTATCAATTTCATATTTTGTAACACTGCAATTAATTTTTGATTAAAAAACTAAATGATTTCAAATCAAGCAATGGTAACACTACGAAAAAAAAACATTTTTATCTCCAGCGCACGAGACTCTGTATCGGAAATTCTAAAGATATGCTCATTTTAAAATTTTTTTGTGACATTGCTGTTGAACTGAATTTTATGGTTTGAATACGTAGAACATGATATTTAATTAATAAATGTAATACACAAAACGTTAAAAAAACGCCCTTGGACATAATTTAAAATCTGAAATTTCTTTTTCTTTTTCTTCCCTTAGTGATAATGAAGACTTTTGGTTTCCCTTGCAACAGTATTAAAGGTTTAAAAAAATGTGCAGATTCTGACTACAGACAAGTATATATGCATAATCTATATAATTGGGATTACTGTGGATTACACTTTGGAGTTCAAAGTGCAATCATGATATGAAGAAAGATTTCTTTCCCATATTTTGCATAAATAAATTTACAAAAGTCTGAAATCTGGGCGTCCAATATCTATAATGATTAATATCCGAACTTCTGGATCCCTAGCCCCCAAAATAATAATAAAAAAAGAAAATCTGAAAGGTTTCAGATTTTAAATTATGTCCAAAGGGGCGAGTTCCCCTCCCCCATTCTGTGTGTTACATTTATTTATTAAATATCATATACTTTGCAGTCAAACCATAAAATTCAGTTCAAGAGCAATATTGCAAAATAATTTTTAAATGAGCATATCTTTAGAATTTCCGATAAACAGTCTCACGTGCTGGAGGCTGTGTATCGGATGTTTTTTCTATACACAATGTTGCCATGGCTTGCTTTGAAATCCTCGAGTTTGTTAATCAAAAATTCGTTAAAGTTTTAAAAATAGGAAATCGATAATAAAACAAATTCCAAATTTCAAATTTGGGCTTCCAGATGCCCATATTACCAGTATGATTCCATCGTTCAAACGTGAATAGCTCTAGGTACCATTGTTTTATCACAATGTGAGAAGCAATCATACATTTATGTAGATTCTTCATTATTTAATTTCTTCAAATATAATACATTGCGATAATATTTGGTGGCAACAGTCTGAAAAGGGAAACGGACATTCAGAGTGATTCGATGTAAAATTGCAAAACGAAAACAGTAGTCCCTCAGGCAGAAAGCCCCTTTGGACTAATTATAAGTAGGTAAATAAAACAATAAAATCTGCCCTTACAAAGTCTTGGAATGGAGAATATAATGACAAAAGGATACGGGTACGCTGTAAATGCAATTTTTCTCAAGACTAATTGAAATTCCTGCATGCCGCTTTTAAAAACCTGCTGGCTGAGAGACCCAGCGAGAGCACTGCACATTTTTCATGTCTCCTGCTTCAAAATAACCTAATGTTTTTACAAATAGCACCTGAACTAAAAGGTGGTGGAATATAATTAGTCACAAGCAAGATTTGGCGATTGGGCCCCTAATCCGTAATTGCTCTTTAAATGGGAGAGCAGATAAGGTATGTTCTGCATGCCTTTGTTGTGTAACGGTTGCACACTTGATGCATATTCGAGACTTCCAGGTTCGAGTCCCAATGAGGGCATTGCACATTTTTCACATCACGTTTTTAACATAATCTGATAACTCAACACAGTTTTCATATGGGGAAAGGCAACGACCATAGTTGATAACACACATTTATTACTATTCACAAACATAGATTACATTAGGATTACAATTAATGAAATAATATACGAGCAATCAAGCGACGTCTGCTCCGCTCGCCAGCTAGTCCTTGTCTTCTCCCGAAAGTGGGAAACGCATGTTGACGCAATACATACGTCACACAGCACAGTAGGGGATTAGGGAATATCATGACATAACATTTCCCACATTCATGCTTTGTATGCTGCTTCATATTAATATTCATTTTCAGAACCTTTGAGCCCTTTTATGGCTTGAAATAGTAAAAAACAAATTTAACATTAACGATTTGGATGCAGAATAAAATTCTTGATATAGGAATATATATTTAAAAAAAAAAATGCTTCAAGCCCCACTCATTTTTGTACTTGCAGCACTTTTCATAAAAAAAAAATTATATTTTAGTACAGAATAAAGTTTTACAATTCCTCCTAGTTTGAATCATGTATTTGTTTATATTAATAACATTTGAATTAATTTTATTTCAGACATATCAACTTTACTCTGTTACTTAGAATTGCATCCAAAACATTGGATTGAAATCCTACCTCCAACTTATGCAACATGTACAGTCCGTTGTTATGGTGGTCCTAAACAAATGCACAGTTTGGCTCTTAAAGTGAGTTATTTGTTAAATTTTATGTTTAAGAAATTTTACTGTATATATATATATATTACATTTGTAGGGATTCGTTCGGTTTGCCCAGCGTTGCGTAATCCAAAAAGCATATGGACAAATTTGAATAGGCCAAAAGGGATAGTTATTTCTGTTTATTTTTCAATAGCATCAGGATCTGATGATATGCACAAGCCAGGTCGAGTGTCAAAAAGATATTTTTTCCACAAAAAAGTGTACACTCTTGGATGTGAGTCACCGGGTAACGATCACGCTCAATGACTTAAGGTGACAGTAATCACGTCCAGGTCACCATTTGTGGTAACAGTTGTTGTTTCTGTCCCACATATTTTTATTATCAGATTGGTTGTGGGAGCTTCTTGTGTAAGGCAGAAAAGATTAGAAAACAATTCACAAACAAATACATAATTTTAATTATTAATCATTGCTTTTTGCTATTGAAGAAGCTAGATCATATGCTGGTCTCAAAATAGTGTCTCAAAAACAGAATGTTCTCTAAAATCCTGGAAAGCACTTTGCGATAGCGAAAGAAATCGAGTTCCAGATAGTTCTGCCATCTGTTGGGGGAAAGGAACAATAACAATTGCCCACACAGTCATGACTGAAAAAAAAAAAAAAAAAAAAAAAAAAAACTGCTTTTCACCATGGCTGTGATTTATTCCTGTTAAAACCATTTTTTTAAAAAAAATTCTGAAAATCACTTACTTTTATTTCATACTTTAATATGAATTATTCCATTAGTAAAAAATATGTTTGTATGAACATTTGTCCTTTTTTTCCTCTCTTCCTGTCTGTGAGCATGTTACTTAACAAACATTAAAAACTGCTGTATCTACTTTTTGACATTTTTAATAGGTAAACTAAACAATGGGATATCATCCATTTATCTCAATGTTCAACAATTTCATGTCATTTTTTGCCATCATGCAATTTGATGTCATCTGAAAACAGATGGCATTTACCGAGACCTGTTTAAATTTTAGGTTACCCACAAGCATGTTTCACCACAATTAAAACAAAACCTAATTCTAAGAAAAAAGAAGACTAATGTAATTTGGTCAGTTGCTTGGTTGGTGTCATGTCCTTTGAAAAGTCAAATGGATCCACGCATAGAAATCACATCTTTTGCCAGTTCCACAATATTTTCACTATATACCCTGGAAAGGAAATTGCCTGAAGCTTTCCAGAGCTGCACAGTGTTGCCAGAAAATTTTCAACTAAAGTAGCAAAAGAAGACTAAAAATGTCACAAATGACATCAAGGATCCCTCACAAATGATGTCAGGGATCACGTGATTTTTGTGACGTCGTAGTTGTGCATGCTCACATGACCTGACGTCATCACAAATTTACTGTCTATTGGTTCTGTAAGTATTCGATTGTATTCGATTCTTAGTCGTTTTAATTACATATCTTAGCTTTAAGGAACATTTTTTAACTATATTGCTCATTTTCAATTGTTTATATATCCATTTCTTTTTTAATTAATTCTAATTTAATTTAGCTTCTATTTTTAAATTGTGCATATCCATTCTTAAGAGATTCCTCATGTTTAGATTGCTAGCGCTTTCATACTAAATTTTTTGAGATGATAGTTAGATTGTTTAATTCATTATTTTTTTGCTTAAGTGTGAACATTTTAAATGAAGAATGTTTTTCGGTGAGTTTTCCCTTCTGCTTGGTGGGCTTATTTCAGATTCTGATTACAGGAAAGCCTTTTTTAAGTCATTTCCATTGCTTAGTGCTTAGCAATATTATAATCAGGAAAATGAATTTCATTTCTTTTTCTATATGGTTACCCAATATATGTTTCATTTTTTCTCTGTTTGGGTACCCAGGCTGCAAGTTTTTTTGTTTGATTCATTTTCACCATAGAACTAGAAAGGTGAACTGACTTCAAAGCAAAACACAAGGGGACGAAAGGGGGGAGGGTGAGAGGTCTCGAAGCAGGTTTTTTTTTTCCTTTCTTTCTGACTTTTCCCTCCTTCCCCCTACCCTCATTTCTTTTTTAAGCCTAAATAAACTGTTTTTTTATGTAAATTATTTTTAATTGATACATTATTTTAACATGTAAGCATTTTATGATATATAAAAAAAATCTTTGAAGTCGCAAAAAGTTGCATAAGGAAATGATGGAGATAACATAATTTTCGCACAATCGCAAATACTAAAATTTTAGTAGCACAAGTTTGTCAAAAGTTGCAAATTTTTAAAAATCGCACGATCTTCCAACACTGGAGCTGCAAGTATTGCCAGACAGTTGAAGAATTTGAGCTGAAGAAAGCTGTTTCGGGGCAGTTTATGTGTCCGAAGAATACCATTTTATTTGGACACTCATGTGCAAGCTTAGAAACAGAATGTTCTATTTTCAAATTTACATTGCTATATAATAATAATAATAATATACTGTGTGGCGTTCGCCAAAGGCAGTTCTTGACGTCTTGGAGACGTCAAAGTCTGCAATGGTACATGAAATCAATGACGTCTCCTGGATGTCATTGTATGCCAAGGGGTTAATAGGCTCTTTGAGTTTATATCTGGCAGTGGCATTAGCATCTTCAAGAGTGACAAGGATTGAGTAGTTGAGATTTCTTGCCTTTTTATAGCCAGTTCATCAGCTGCCTCATTTCCATCAATTCTAATATATGCAGGTATCCATTGCATGTCTTTCCCATCTGCTTGATTGTTTCTAGGTGTTGGTGTACATCGTGGGTGAATCTTGAATGTCCTTGCAGTATTGCCTCTAGGACAGCCTTAGAGTCACAGTAAATTACAAGTCTTCTAATTTTATCATTATCATTTAAGTCGATGTAAATTCTTGGGGCCTCCTGGGTTGCTCTTACTTTACATGTGAAACTGGAAGCGATGTTGCTTGCTCCACGGCTTTGGAGTATAGTTGCTCTGTTTGGTAGAGTGATGTGAATACCGGCTCCATCCTGTTGGATACTCTCATCTGATGAACTATCTGTATAAATTTTTACCAAATCAGCTCCCAAAAAGGACTCAGTTGTTCGAGTTCCTTTTGACCTTGATAACAGCTTCAGTTTCCTTTTTTGTACAATGTTCCACAAGATCGAGATTTATTTTGATGTTAATGGGGATGTAAGAGGATACGTTAGGCTCTTGATTGACAATGAAGGTGTCATGTTTGAAGACTAATGCAAGTCGATGTATGATTAAAACATGCAAGACAAATGTGTGTTTTTCTTGGTCCAAGTTGAAATAAATAAATAATCAAACAAAAAATAACAAAGGGCTTGTAAATTAGGTACAAAATTTAACAAAGAACTTTTGTAATTTCCTAAAGCTCGAAACTGGATACAACTAATAAGATAGCATAAAATCTTAATTTTAAGGTGACAAAATAAATTGCTATTCACAGCAAAAGTTACCTGATAAGATAATAAATATATGGCAAAACTTACTTGATTAGAATAATAATGTACTTAATTTTTTTTAATCTAACAGTTCATTTAATCACTATGTGTATAAGGAGTTTTGTGCCATCTTGTAAAAATAACATTTTTATTAATGTGCAGTTTAAAATGCATAGTAAAATGGCTGAGTATAGTACTATAAAAATCTCATTTTCCTCTAGTCAGTTTTAATACAACACGCTATTATTTCAGAACCCTGCAATTGCTACTGCCTTTGCTTTAGATAAACAATCTGGTAAAAACTGGGACAAAACATCACAGTATCAATTTTCTGTAGTTAAAGTCGCGTCATTCATGGGGTGGAATGCTGCATCTTTGAAAAGAGAACTTAAACATCTTGAATGGAATGGTATGTATGTGTTTGTTATTAGCAATTACATAGTTGTTCTGATTTAATCCATGCATGTCTTAAAAGATATTCAATAAAAAAATGTTTCAGTATTTTATGGCAGTTTCATATTGTCAAATTCAAGTTTAAATTAAATGACTGTTAGTACTTCCAAAGTAACTGGAATCTCTGGAAAAAAAAGATGGGATTAATTTGAGTCTAAAATTAAATTTAAAATACATTTATAAAACAGATATTATATATTTACTGTATAATTAAACACTAATGGCTATCATGAAAATTTCACAAACTTATACAGTCAAAAGTCGTTAATTCGGACACCCATAATCCGGAATGATCTATAATCCGGACCTCAAAGCTACAAACTTTCTGCGCATGCGTAGCGTTCACGCATGCGCACAGGTGCTTACGAGTGCGCATAAGATCTTTATGGCTGCGAATATGTTTGTGCGCATGCACGTGTAATGTGTAACGGAGGTAAGCTAAAATTATCTAATTCAGTTAATGTTGCAGATTGCGTTGTACCTTAATCTACGAATTGGATCCGGCTTATTATTTTTTGCAGACTGTTAGAGCAATTTCATAAAAGTAAGCAGAACTTTCGATTATGTCAAATAGAATTTCCGATATATATTTACTAATATGTAATTTGTATCTACAAAGCGAAAGTATGTTTTGAAATCCAAAATCTGTTTATCAATTTCACGCCGCGGATTGGAAGTTGATCTGTCAGCACTATCCTTATCTTCAAGGCAGATGTTTTTATTTTATTTGGCTTATAATTCCTTACTAAGTGTAGTATTTCATCTTCATGTACTCCTTCTTTGATATGATTTAAATCAAGTTCCTCGTCATTATAATTTGCTTCCGATAGTGAAGAAAGTGACTCGGAGGTTATTGAAATCGAAAAAATTTCGATTGACAAATTAGTCAGTATTCTCGACACAGCAATTATAGGACTTGAACAGCGGAACTTTGTAACTAAACAAGAAATTATGTCTGTTTAATAGAATTAAAGAGAAAGTATTATCACATGAAACGAAGCAACTTACATTGAAAGAAATGGGTTGATCTTTACATTATGGTAACTTGGCGTTTTTTTGGCGAAAATGTGGCGACCAACTCTCCTACAGCAACCCTCTATTTTCTTTTCCCGCCGCCATTTTGTCTTCATGAAGTAAAGACATGTTTCTTTTCTTTTTATCTACTGAACACTTCTTCCAACAATCTACTAGCCGAATTACACTTATGCTAGAAATTTTATCTAACAAAACTGCTTAATCATGACAAATATTCACTGCAAAATTGGGAAAAAGTGCACAATACCATACTCCTTACGTGTTTTTCAAAATAACACATACACATAAACCATGTACACGCCGACTTATTTTTACTTAAAAAAAATCCCAGAATTGCACAAAAATGGCATTGCGCACACTCTTCACTATATTCATGTACACTGCTTTTTTCTCATAAATTAGAAAAATTTCACGAAAATACATGACAATTTTCTCAATCTTTAAACCTGGTAAAAAGAACATATATGAAATTACCTGATCGCGAAAAAGTATTTACCCCCATTCCAAATATGAACATTTCCACATATAAAATAAATAAAATATCCAAAACTTTTACCTCTAAATCATCTATTACATTATACACGTCACCAATGAATTCATACCGCAAGCATACAAATACTTAGTATCAAAATATTTAAATTATTCCATGCACGTTTACTTCAACTTAAACGTATACTAAATTCCTACAAACATAAAATTCACAAAATAACTATCATTTAATTAAAATATCACTAAACCATGTACACGCCGACTTATTTTTGCTTAAAAAAACATCCCAGAATTGCACAAAAATGGCATTGCACACACTCTTCACTATATCTATGTACACTGCTTCTTTCTCATAAATTAGAAAAATTTCACGAAAATACATGACGATTTTCTCAATCTTTAAACCCGGTAAAAAGAACATATATGAAATTACCTGATCGCGAAAAAGTAATGAACATTTCCACATATAAAATAAATAAAATATCCAAAAACTTTTACCTCTAAATCATCTATTACATTATACACGTCACCAACGAATTCATACCGCAACCATTACAAATACTTAGTGTCAGATATTAAAATTATTTCCATGCACGTTTCTTCAACTAAAACGTATACCAAATTCCTACAAACATAAAATTCACAAAATAACTATCATTTAATTAAAATATAATTAAATTCAAAAACAACTACTTAAAATATAAATGAGCCCATACATTAAATTAATACATACATAAATACCCATTTTGAATTCACTTTAGTTACGGCCATGGGATCCAAAAGTTCACGAACACTGTTTCACACAACACAGAATAAAGCCAAATGCAAAATTTCCAGATTTTTTCCCGATTTCCCCCCTTTTCCGATTAAAGAACCGTAATTCGTCCATTAATATCACATGACATATCCCATGATCTCTCATTTCCCTCACACAAAATAATGCGTAATCGGAACAGAGTACTGCTCACATTATTACCACAGTGCCAGGTAGTAACCTTTATCGCCTCCAAAATGTCGCCAAACTACCAGTTACTATATTGTAAAGATCAACCAAGAAATGTTTAATAAAGTTAACAAATAAATATTAAGCTTTTTCTTTTTGTAAATTTTGATACCCTTTAGATCATAATTGTCTTATTTCATAAAATTCATAAAATTACGGTTTCATATTTTTAATTTTGTATTTTCTGCATGCCATCTTACCAGATTTAAACTGATGATCTATAATCCGGAAAAATCGATAATCCGGAATCGCCGAAGTCCCGACGAGTCCGGATTAACAACTTTTGACTGTATACATTAATGTGCAGCATTTCAATGAATATAATGAATATTACAATGAATGTAATATTTTATTTAATATAATCAAATTGTTTAAATATTGATTTTGTCTTGCTGCTGTTATTTTGTTTTCCTTCCTGAACAAAAACAATAATACAGTTCTGGGTGATCTTTTAAAATTTAAGCAATTTATCTGCAAAGAAAATTTAGCAGTACATTTTCTCTATTGACATCTTTTATTTTAAAAAACAATATTTTCCTTCCTTGTACGAAGTAAAGAAAGTATTGTAATCATGAAAATTTTCAGGTATCGTATTTCAACAAAAATATCTATTTTTATGGCCAAATATCCATTTTGATCAGTATCAAATGCAATTTAATGATGTTTTTGTGTGACATCTGTACACAAAGAACTCTTTTTCCCCCAAATGGATTCAGAAGAGATTTTTTTCGTGGTGTCTACATGTACATCTTGCATAACTCAAAAACAAGTAGCCTCAGGACATTGAAATTTTGTATATCGGACTGCTATAACACGCAGTTGTGCACCTCCCTTTTTGGTTGCAATTGGCCGTATCAAAAGTATATAAAGATATATATACATATATATGTGTATATATATACCCACTCTGTTATTCTGCTCGGTGAGCTCAGATTTTTTTTTATTCTTATATGTCGGTAAATTGTGCATTTTTTGCTTGATTAAATGATTGAATTATGTTGTTCTTATCTGGTTAAGTTTTTTATGCCTTTAATTAATTTGTATGCAATAGTTTCAGAATTATCAACAATTTAAAAATTATTTAAGTGCAAATGAATAAGCCTAATTTTTGCTTACCATAGCAGCCACATTTGTTTACATTCGAAACTGCAGAATAGTGAATTCAGTTTCTGCATCTTCAGTGTCCTTCTGGCAAGTGGGTCTGAAAGTAAACTTTCAGTTTTGTGCACCAAAAAAATCTGACTTTTTATCCACTGGCCAAATTGCTTGTTTTTGCGTAGAAACTCTAATTTTACTTGTAAAAACTGTTTTAAATATATCTGGTGTCTTATGTCTAAGACTGAATTATATACTACTTGATTGAATGCTACTTGAATTATATTATAGTATTTATCCATTAAACTGTTTTGTTCTTCTGAAATATAAATGTTTTCATTTATCAAATAAAATCTACTTCAATACTTATCGCTGCAACCAATCAGCCAGTCTTATTTTCAGCAAAATATCCCAGTTTGTGGTTTGATCAAAACTATCATTTTGTTTGTCTTTAAAATATTAAGGAGTTTTATTTAATAAAAGCAAATCTTAAATACTATATATATTGTGAATAATACAGATCATAATCCTATTCACTAGAAAATGAAACACACATGAAAATATATTTATTGCAAAAATACTGTGTTTACTGGGGGGGGATAGGTCCCTCAAATAATTATCTCGATATAAACTGCAACTTTCAACTAATTCAAACCAAAACAGGCAAATATAATATTTCAGCTGAATGGAATGCCATCACACTGAGGGATTACAACATTCGGATACTTAGAACTGAAATGCTATAGGACTTATGGAGTTTAAATGCAGGTCAAGGAATTGTAACATGTGAATGAATTCATCAGTAAATTTTCAACTGAAAGCTACCCAAAGTTGCATATGTAAATATTACAGATAAAATGCACTGAATATTCTTCTGAGTTAATAAATGTAAAGGGTTGACCCTCCCCCCAATCTGGATTTCTTACAGTAATACTTTGTAACCCAATGAATAATTTATGAGTATTTTGCATATTAATTAATCTTTTAATTCAAATTATGTGTAAACAATAACACATAAATTTCATTGAAAATGCCTTTAACTGTGATCAAACATGAAGTCCATACATATGCCAATCATTCAGGAGATGAAAATAAAAATCGCATCTTCTGATAAAATCTTACTTTAAAATAGGTATTTCAAGGTCATACTGACCCTTCCCTCATTTGCAATCATAATATGTCATCATTATTGCTCAAACTAGATTAGAGAATTTTAGTAAATCATTTTCTGCATCAGCTGTTACCATGCTTATATATAATGTTAGAAGGGAAAAAGAGATCTTGTAGTGCCTATGCTAAAAAAATAAACTAAATCTTATTTTCATGGTTATGTTAATTGCACAATACAAGTTCAAATATATGTTTTTAAGTAACTACTGCCATTTATAAAATATATTCTGAATTAATGCCATTTATATTTCTAAATTCCTAGATCAGAAGCATAAAACAGGAGTTTTGGTGGAATTTTCTGGCTTAGCATTCCATATACGTGCACCAGGTAATCTTACTGAAGAAGAACTGGATTCCATTTTAGACTTTTTATATCAGAAGGTTACATACAGAGAAAAAAGGGAAATGCACAATCTGAAATCTTTATTTTCATTATTCGAAAAGTAAGTGCTGTCTAAAATTTTGTGTTTCTGCTTAAAAGCTACATGCTTTGTAAACAGTGTTTTGCAACTAACCTCAAACTATGGAGGTTACAAAATTTAAATCTCAAATGTATACCTGCTGAAACTGATGTACATCATGCCCACAAAAGTCTTTTCTCCTTATAGTTAGGAAAATGAAAAACAGAAAATTAAACAAAAATTATAGTACTGAGTCAATAAATTGACTCAAGTTAATAAATTTTAGTACAATTAATTTATTTAAAAAAATTTAAAGTACAGTTAATAAATTTATTACAGTTAATAAATTTACTCAGTACTGAGTTAATAAATGATTTGTTGTACTGTAAATGAACTAAGATATTTAATTTAAAAATTTTGGTTATTTGATGCCCTTTTCAACTTGCTTTGAGAGGTCAGTTAATAAACACATTAAAACAATTCAAGATTCATTTTTCATCTTAAATATCATGCAGTTATATTCTTTTGTCATTTACTAGCATGTATTATTCTTAAATTTATAATTTTTTAGAGTTGGTTTTGTCAGAAAAATTTTCGCATTAGTAATTAATAAGTTTTCCAAAAAATATTTTTAATTTTCTCATGAAGCTTTTAGAATCATAATCTGGTAATAGTACAAAAATTCATTAAACTAAAAAAAATTTTCGTTCAGAAAAATGGCTCCTGAATATGATCTGCAACTTTAAAATGAAATATCTTGGTCAATTTTTGTCATACAAGAGTTACACTTTACATATTTTACTTTTTATAACAAGTATAAAATTTTCTAAATATAAGTATGAGGATCAGGAGAATGAGTAAAAAGTCAGATTTTGTAATTTTCACATTTTTTAAAATTTAAATATACCAAAAACAAATATTTATATAATTTAAAGCATTTATAATACTAGAAGTGTATGTCTGCAACAAACAGCTGCAAAAGTAAAGGCTGGATTTTTGAGAATATTATGCTATGCACCGAAAAACCTAAATTATAACCAATATGTAAAATTTGCATAATTATTTTACTTATTTGAAATTATATTATAGATTAACCATTACATATTCTCAGAGAAATATTCAACTTTTAATGACCCCATCTTGACAAATTCCTATGGCTGTTTTGTAAATGGGAATGTCATCAAAAAGAACATATGCTCTTGAAGACCAATGCCATACCTTGTAAAAACATGTAATTTGTAAATTGGAGATTTATAAAAATGTGACTCCATCATAATTAAATAATATGTTTGCATTACCGTATATTCATGGGATTCAGTTTTATGCATAATATTGGGTTGTTCAGAAAGTAATTTTGTTTTTTCCCAAGAGGGCTTAATTGTAATGACAGAATGGCATTGCTAAAACTGGTTTGCAAATTTCAATCTGGCAATTTTGATCTTGAAGATAAACAGCTTAAGAACATAAGGAACCCATACGTCAAGCTTTAAAATTAAACCTAGATGTTTCAAATGACCTAAAACGGTCAAATTCAATAAATTTAATCTCTCAGTGATCTCACAATTTGTCATTCAGTTTTCATCAATTAATGCCATTATTGTGTCTTCATCAGCTTCAAGTGGCCTTCCAGAACATGGTGCATCTTCAAGATAAAAATTGCCAGATGCAAATTATGTGAACCAATTTTTGGCACTGGCATTCTGTCAATACATCTTCTCCATATACGTTGGATATATATATATATATATATATATTTTTTTTTTTTTTCCCCTTGCTTGAGCAGCATTTTTACCTTTTCGATAGTAAAAAAGTAAAATATGCCGAAAATGGTGCTTTTCGCTTTCCATGTTTGAAAGGGCACCAACCACTCGTAACTTTTTCACAAACAAGGCTTGCTATATCTTCTGTCAAAATATTTCATGATTATGTGGCTCAAGTGTGAGGTTTCTGTGAAAAAATACACTTAAGCCCTCTGGGAAAAAATGATATTACTTTCTGAACAACCCAATAGGTAATATTAAATGTTTAACAGGTTTAGCAATTAGCTTTACCACATGATTTTGACTTTTATACTGAAAATCATTAATTGGCAATACATGAAAGATCACCCTTTCTTATTTTTATTCCTTTAATCTAGCATTAATTTATTAAAACTGCAAATTTTTAAGTATTATTCTTTATTTCAGCGATACATTTTTGTTTTGATGATGAATAAATAACATGATATATCATTGATACATGCCATCATGTATATCATTTATATTTTGTAGGTATTCTGTTCCTCATTATTGGGCATGTTGTGAGGATCCAAATGATGAACACAGCAAAGGCATCAAAGAAACAATAAACAAATACTTTGAAAGTAACCAAACTAATGAGGAGCTAGAATGTGTTGACATGAATTCAGAGGAAATGATCCCTGAGGTATAATCTTTTTTATATCCCAAATATTACATTTGTGAGATAATTTCAAGTTACATTTTTAAAATTCTTATTTGTCTTTGATGTCATTGTTTGCATTACCGTATATTCTAGCATATAACACACACCTGTAATTTCAAACTACATTTTTTAAATTTTTAGGTATATTTGCTGTGTAATGCGTACCCTTTTGAGATACATGTGCGATGATTTTACCTTTTAAAATTGTTCATTAGAAGATGTTCCCCATACTGAAATGACAAACAATAAGCGGAACAATGTGTCGAGAGGGGGGAATGCTTGATAGAGTATGTAATTTTGAAAATCATTCATTAGAAGATGTTCCCCAAACTGAATTGGCAAGCAATAAGCGAAACAATGTGTGTGTTGGGGGGAATGCTTGATGGAGTATATAATTTTGCAAAGGTGATGGGTGGTATTCAATGCAGGTGTGCACTAGAATGTTATTCTAGAGTTTCAAGAAAGGACAGACATAATTTCGGGTAAGAATGTACTTCTAACCTGAATGAATTCGTGGAATTAGGAGTCGGGTGTTTTCTCAAAATGAATGAATCCTCACTTTTATGCAAAGAAAATTATCCGATAATGAAAATTTTTAAGTTCATAGGTTGTGACATTACTTTTAAACAAACAGCATTTAAGTACCTGTAGGAATCCAATATCTGTACGAGCTTCTTTCCTTTATTTTTATATGTATCATTTTTATATCTGGTGTATAACACAGACCCGTAAATTTCTATCTTATTTTTTTGCATTAAAAGTGTGCATTATATGTGCCGGAATATATGGTAATCTTTCTTGAAATGTATTACACATAGATTCAATACAAATCATGACATCTAAAGTATTTATTAATTTAAAATTTGCATTGTCTTCTTTACACTGTTTTAGCAATAGTTAGTTGTTCGTAACACATTTGATGAGATCAAGGTATATATTATTATTATTAGATATTTGATGATAAATTTATATAAGATTTCTACAGGGATAATCTGCAGGAAATAAAGATAATTGTCACCTAGACAGTATAGTGATTAGGGGTACAGAAGGGTCAAGGTTCAAATCCTGGAGAAGACATGGATGTTGTAAATGTATCGTGTTTATGAAGCCTGGGGGCACTCTAAATATGCTGCCAGCTAAAAGTCCTCTTGTGTTGTTTGATGGAATGGGAGAGGGGTGGGGCATCCCGGACCACCCACGGGGTGCTCTACCTCAGAATTGGGGTGGAAAATAGAAGTCCAACCTCTCTTTGAAGTTGGCTTTAGCAACCATTTTTCCATGTAATATAGACACTACAACAATAACAAATAACAATAATTCTGATTATGGTGATTATTTTACAATTGCAGAATATCCATGTTACAGGGAAATGATAAAAACGGAGATCAACAATCCATTTTTATTAAAATTAACTGCAATTTCTTCAGAATTGTTGATCTGATTTCCTGAAATATTCTGGTGGGGGTTGATATTTTGGAGCTCAGTATCCTAAGGCACACAAAGATGTTCATGTGGCCTCTCAGTACAAGAAAATTAAAGATATATAAACCATTCATCAACTCACATAGAAATGTACAGTAACTAGTACATCTGCTTATTTGCTGCTGTAAAATTCATAGCTTGCATTGCAACTTTTCCCCCCCCCTCTCTCTCTATGAAAGCTGTACAGCAATATTCAGGAAAGGTTGCAGTCTTTAGTGCCTCCTTTGCAAAAAAGCAGTTACCATATTCTTCAGATAGCATTTCTGGAAATATTCACTTCTCTAGAGACTTCTGATTGACAGTGACCTCCTTCCAACCTGCCAACATTTACCATTAATTCATCTAAATGTTCTAATAAATTCATCTTTGAAAGGTATTCATAAATATTCTAACGAACATTAATTTTCAGCAACTTTTCAGAGCAAGAAATATGAAACAAGTCTTAATGTGCATCATTATAATGGTTTCCAAGTTTGCATATATGCTATAGATGATGCATATAAATATGCAATTTGAACTGCATTCATATATATATGAATTTCAAGCTAAAGCTTTTAAGTTGGCCTTTAATTTCGAATAGTGGCATAAATATAAAATAATAATAGTAATTACACTTGTTAAAACAAAACATAAATTTTTAATGAATTCTAATTTTGCTTTAAGAAAGCCATAAAATTATATGCAGCCATGTTTTATTGATTTTTATCAGAAATGAAAGTTTTACGATGTTTCACTGAAATTATTTTACCTTCGAATGAATATGAAAAGAAAAATTTACTGATCATGGTTATTAACCATTATAAATGAGAAAGTGTACAACTAATAAATAATGCAAAAAATTTTTATAAATATGTAGTTTGGCAGTTCTCAACCTTTTGACTAACGTGTATCATCTAAACAAAAATTGGAAAACTTTAGTACCACCACTATATTTTACAATTATTTTTCAGTTTCTCAATAGAAATATTAAATATATATATATATATATATTGCCATTTGTACAACCTATTGGCTATATTAAATGTGCACACATAAATATATTAAATTAAAAATTGGTTACCATTTTAATTATCAAAATTTAAGTTATAATACGAATTCTAAAATTTAGTACAAAATTTGGGCCCTTTTAAGAGAGATCAATTTCTTTATTGTCTGATCTTATTTCACTTAACTTTAACCTTAAAATCTAATTTTAATTTTGTTCTGTATTTCTTTTTTAAATAAAACGTGGAAGAAAATACCTGTTGACACAGATAGGTGGTACAAAACGGCAATATAAATTTAACAGCTTTACTTGAAACGCCTTTTTTTTTTTTTTTTTTTTTTTTTCCCCTTCCCTCTTTTTTCCAGCCAAAAGTTAACAGGTGTGTTATTTTTTAAATCTTCAGTTAGAGTTCGATCACAGGAAACTTCTATCAATTTTTCTTTTTCTTCATGAGATTTTTGAATTTAATAGTTAAAAATGTTTCGTTGTGTACCATCTGTAATACGCATACCACCAGTTGAAAATCGCTGATGTAGTTAATTTATTTGATGGTTTTTTCAATCTCAAATAAATAAGTATTTGCTGTTATATATGTTTAAAATGCATTCAATCTCTTGAGGTTATTAGTAGAATTTTTAGAGTAAATTATAAAGACGTAAAATTTGATTTAATGATTTCAAATGTGCTGAAGTTCACGAATATTTTGCAGGTTGAAATGTCAGATGTTCGAGCTCAAATAAGAGATATAATATGCACAAATAATGATCAGAACTTCACTGGGCGAGCAATAGCTCGCATTTTCCATGGAATAAGTAGCCCGTGTTTCCCATCTGAAGTCTGGGGAAAGGTTAGAAAATTTTGGCGCTGCTTACTACGCGTCAATTTTAACACCATTTTGAAGGCAGCTAATGAAGAATTGAGATATCTCAAGTAAATATAGGTGCACTATATTTTTGAAATTTTTACTATTAAAGCATAAATCAACATCCCAACATATTTGGGTTGTTGATTTTTTTTCTCCTAAAATATATTTATCATATAACTTCTTATAATAACCCATGGAAGGATTTGTAACTCCATTATAAAACACGAATAGGGCTAAGATTTGAATCAAGCAAAAACTGTTGCTAAACAGTGCAATTTATCACCAATAATGTATCCTTTGCTGTATATATTAAAGAATGTTATATGCTGAATATATTTAAGGAACCAGTCATTCCAATAGAAACCAGCTTTCGTGGTCAGCAGAATTTTGTAATCAAATATGATTTACTTTGAGGTTTATGTTGATGCCATTTTTTTCTTTTGAAATCTTAGATAATTAAAATGTAAGAGTTTGATGTTCAAGTTGATAACAAAAAAAAAATGACTATTTTATAATTTTAGACCAGAATTTGTTTTTTCATTCATTTGGTTTTTCTATGGTGAACTACTTTTTTTATACGCTTAATTATTCAGAACTGGGCATTTACTGAACTTTTACCGTACTTTCACTGTTCAAACAGTTTGCATATATGTCACATGTGTATGAAATTTGCAGTATTTGAATTAGGATTTATATGTAGACCTTTTACATGCTCTAAAAGAAATGTACAAAGTGTCATCATCCAGGACATTGCAGATTTTGTTATAGCACAAACAGAATTAGTATCTTTCGACCATTCAATAAGATGTATTTTGAGTACAGAGCGTAACCAATTTATTTGCACAAACTCTAAATAAAACAGAATCTGTATAGTTTCTGTGAAAATTCCTTAAAAATTTATGATGTATAAAAATAACTACAGATTTTACAAAAAGGGGTCAAGTTTATAAAGGTTTATGGATTCTAATTTCTCCTTCATATGAATGTGATTTAAAATATTCACTTTAAAAATATATGATTTAGTGACATTTCTACTTGCGTAATACAATGAAAATTTCTAATTAAATATGCATATAATTTACCAGAAGTATTTATGATTTTTCAGTTTTTTAATCAAGAATTTTAAATATATTGTTACTTAAAAAAGGAGTACTTATTATAGTGGCCCCCAATTTTATTTGGCAATATTAAGATAACATCAAGATCACAACTATGATTTCCCCAAGCTCATGACACACAAGTGTAAAAATAAATAATACAATATATAATAATAACAAGACTAGCATGTTATTTCCTAAGAATATTTTTAACAATCAACAGGGTTGCCACTTAAACAGGAGAATGAAATTCCCTGACTTTTCCAGGTGTGTTTCAAGAAAATTCCAGGCTATCCACATAGTGTGCACTGGTTGTGCTGAGGATAAATTAATTATGGTACCACTTGAAAACACAAAAATTTGCCAATTACATATCACATATGACTTATAATATATAATCCCCAAAGCATTACTTTTCTAACTATAATAGTTGTTTTCTCCACTGAGGATTGAGATGAGAATCTTCCCAATCGTGATTTTAAAATGTCTTTTCTGCAGACATTTTGTGGGTAAACAAAAAAAGAAATCTATTTAATGATATTTTTAAATAAATGCAAGTATTTTATATTTATTTACCAGCATTCATAAGTAAAAAATATAAGCATGAAATTTAAAGCAAATAAAGTTATGTCATATTACTGGTTGAATTAGTTTCACGAGTATGCCAGAGAAAGTTGCCTGAAATTAAAAAATATTATTAACTAATAATAAATAAATTTAGAAGGAAGAAGTCACATTAAATGACATGACGGAATAACATTAAAATAAAGTTAATTACTTAAGGATTAAAAAATGAATTACAAAAATTGATGGTATTTTGGCAAATATAGATATATTAAATGGTTTGCTTAGATGACTGATTATTATCTTTTTATTTTAGTGCAAAATGGCAAATAAGGCATTTAAGAAAGAAGGAGAGGTTTAAAAGATATTGTTTTATACGAGAATGAGGAAGATTTACTTTCATTACACATGCACTGCACATACGAATCTTTGGATTCTCGAGGTTACTGGAAACCAAAGATGCTGAAAATTTGCTTTGTCTTTCTTAAAAACAATCTGATTGGAGCTGTGAAAATTGGTTCTATGCCAGATGTCCAAATGACTCTAATGCCAAGATTCGCCAAGAAAGTGATCGCATCCAACGTTGATGTGAAAATAGCGTTTTCGAAGATCATAGTATGAAATTGCATGACTTTTCCAGATTTTAACTAAAATATTTAAATTCCATGACTTTTCTCGGTTTTTCAGGTAGCGTGGCAATCCTGAATCAATATGAGAAGCCTCTCCCCCCCCCCATATTTCTGAAATTGCTCTCAAACAATTCATCAAAAGCATCATTTATGCACATAAATTCTCCACATAAATTCCAAAAGATATGATTTAAGATGATGTCAAGCCATACCGTTGTTTTATTACGCCATCTGGCTGACCTCACATTATTTTCACAGTTTGGATGTGAACACTCGTTGTTGGGTTCTATGAAAATGTACTTGCGATTCACAGAAAAAGTAAATGTAACTAGCTTTTCCAAACCACTGCATAGATTGTTGATCCTTCTTGCACATGGTGGATAACTTTCTGCATAAGTATACTAGCATCTCTATTTAAGATTTAAACAAGAAAGCACTTATCATCTTCCCTGCATATTCTTCCAAAAAATCCATGAACAAATTTTCATCGATTTCAACTAATTTATTGAAACTACCTATTCGCCCATTGAATCCTTGCATTAGATGTAAGAAACACTTCCTGCATGTAATTGTTCAAATCCATTCCAAGATTTTCTCACATATTAAGCTGTTGTCACATCATATGATGGACATCAACTCCTCTGCCCAAGAATGCATAAATCAAATAGCATTGATTATTCTGGAACCATTGAATGAATTTCCAACACAGAGGCCCTTTTTCTTTTTGCAATTTTTAACATTGCATCTCCAAATGATTTTGTTGTGAATGTATAGTTTTATTCACAACAAACAACAGTTGTGACCATTTTCACATACTCATTTCTCAGGTAAAAGACCTTTTCTTGAGAAAAGGGCTATGGTATCTACCTCTTTATTTTATAAATTTCACAAAAAAAAGCAAGGAATAGTTTTAAAAAATCCATGCAAATTCAAACATTTTATCAAAAATGAAACACACTGCTAATATAAGAATACGTGGCGAGATATCTCGGTTGATTAGCAATTCAATCTTGAGAGCCGTTATAATAAGGAAGTACCAAAAAAATATGCTTTAATATGCACATAAAATGTTTTGTAGGGTAGAGTGCATGAGACAGTGTCAGTGCTTCCCAGAACTATTAGAAGTGTGCGTGTCCCAGCAGCAGTTACCTTCAAAGATGACATTACATAATTTTTACATTTCAAATTAAACTTCCTCACAAATATGTTCCCTTAACTTATCATTATAAGAATAGAATTAGCTAATATTTTACTGCAAGTCAACATACACAAAGTTATGTACAGCAAAATAAGGAATATTTTTAAAAAAATCCATGCAAATTCTAAAATTTTAGCAAAAATGAAACACTATGCTAATATAAGAATAGATGGTAAGATATCTCGGTTTGATTAGCGATCTAATCTTAGGAGCGACTATAGTAAGGAAGTACCAAAAAATGTGCTTTACTATACATATTTTTTTGCATATTTTGTCATTTACCTGACCAATAAGTATGCGAAAATGGTCGCAACATGAAACTACACATTCACAACAAAATTATGTAGAATGTTTACAAAACTTTAATAGCACATTAAATGTCAAGATTTTTAAGACCTATAAAATATACTTTAAATGCACATTTTAACTATATGACTTAGGAATAAAATTAATAGCTGAGCCTTTGTGAAAGCTATTTATTTTTGCAATACTTACCTGAAAGAGAATATTTGACAAAGCAATAAAACATATTATTTTTGCACGTATAGAAAAATAGCACTACACTACACATAGTTTAAATATAATTAAATAAAATAAATCGTTGGGTATATTTTATATAAATTAAAGCAAAAGTTTTCATCCATTTGCAGTTAAAAGTTCCAGCTAAGAGGAAATTGATCTCTGTATAATATATTATACAGACATTCATTTCATACAAATAGAATATATGTATGAAATATAATAAACTAAAACTACTCAATGTACGAAAATTATTTTATTTCTTGTTACGAAATTTAATAATGCTATTCAAAAACATAAATAAAAATAACATACTGATTCTATCAAAAAATTTTGTAAAAAAAAAAAAAAAAATCTTCAAAACTTAGCTTTGCTTGTGAATGCTTTATGAATGGATGGACAGATGCATTACAAGAAAGGTCTCCCAACTTTCTGAATCTGATAAAAATTACAATAGGGTGGTCCGTGAGTGGAACAAAAAAATGCATGTAATTTGTCAGAAACATTTAATATGATACAGAATTTGATACAAGTTAAAAATAATTTAATAGTTAATTTGTCGTTCACATTGATAAAAAATTTATGGAAGCTTTGGGAATTTCTAATAAATCTGGTGGCAGTTGCAGCTTAGAAGACGATGTTACCTTTAGAACATTTCAAGAATCCATAAAATTTCAGTTTAACAGATACAGCTTCCTTGCCATGGAACAAATATGCAGGGGAAATTACAAGATAATTTTGAGGTAGCACAAAAACTGATTTGCTGTGGTGCAGATTTAAGAACAATATGAAGTTTTATAAGCGTTACAAAGCAAGAAAAAGTGGTGAAAGAATCACAATATTTAAAAACTGAAAAAGAATACTTTTTACCATTTTTACTGCACCAAGCTGTAATTATAGAAAACACAGACCTTATGAAACTTTTCATTTTCTTTTAGACATCACACATGCTGAAAGCCAACTGTCATTGAGTAACTGTTTACAATTAAGCGTTTCTTTCCATTTGAAACCTGTTCTATTATTTTTAAAATGATGTAAATATAGGATAAGGATACTATATAATATGTGAACACAGAATGTAAATATAGGATATAAAAATATTTTTGTGGCTTTTGGAAAATCAAACTGTAATTCTCAAACTTTCCTGAATTCCTACATGCGGCTCTTATTGGCATCACATTTGGCCACCACTGCTATATAGGGATCTTTCTGCACAAGGAATTATTAATTTCATTGTTATGTATTCTTGTGAATAAAATTAAATGGATAATTATTCTATTTAATTTTTTCATTACCAGTACAAAGAATACAATATATCTTAAAACACTCGGTAAAACTTCAAGACACAATTTTGAATCCACCTTACATGATTTAGGATTATTTTTCGTCTCATTTAGTATTTTATGTTTTGGAAAATATGCCCACTTTTGTTTTTGGTAAAGAAAATATCTACCTTAGAAATGTCTTTTCCAAGCTTTATAATGAAATAACAATGCATTACATAATATTAGTTGATTCATTTTCAAATTCTGCTTACATATGCTGTCCCAGAAGAAAAGAAAGAAAAATCGAGATAAATTAATATTTAAAGATTACTTTGAGCAAAGCATTGCATAAAGATGACTATATTTCTACAATTTAAAATTTTAAAAAAATCAATTGAAATTTTTCAGATATAAATTTATCCAATCAATAAAAATAATTTGTCTTCCCCTTCATGTCAAGAGTCTTGAACCTATTTAACCCATAATTAGCTTGTAAATCTGCCTAAAAGGGGTAGTCCATATTCAGTGACATAGATAAACTAGTCAAGCTAAGCTTGACTTCTTTGATTATGTACTGCCCCCTTTAGAGAATTACAAACTAATTGTGGGTAAAATAATCTCTAGGTAACGGACTTGACATTAAGTGAAAGATAAATAATTTTTATTGATTTGCTAGAGAAAGAAGTCTAATTTTTATCATGAATATAACAGATACTAATAGTTCATATTTAAAATAATTAAACTTCTTTATTTAAAAAGATAAATGAGGTACAAAACAGAGATTGAATAACAGAAAACTTGAAAGGTGCAAGCATTTTTGCCTACAATCTAAAATTTATATCTAAAAAAGTTCAATTGTTGTTTTTATACACTAATGAAATAAATTAAGTAGCACATTTCTTGAGTAGCAGAATTTCTTGAGGTTATCTTGCAGCAATTTAGCGAGGCGTAACAGAGGGGCTACAGCTTCTGAGCTCTCTCGGGACCTGTATGCAGCCACAGGAACCCATGTAACAAGGGTGACTGAGAACCCTCTCTCAATCAGTGTGTTTCCAAAAGACTGAATGAGAGAAGGTTGTTTGCCAGAAGACCAGCTGTTTGTGTCACGCTCACGTCTATGGACAGGAGAGTCCGATTAGCATGGTGCAGGCAGCATAGAGTACGGAACAATGGGCGACCGCTCTGTTCACCGACGAGTCACGTTTTAACCTAAACACCGATTCTCGACATACTTTCATATGGAGAGAGCCATGGACTCGCACCTGCCCTCCAAAGTTTGTGAAATCAACAATTATGGCAGTGGCGGTGTAATGGTCTGGGCTGGCATCATGTCGGATGGCCACACACCTCTCCACGTCTTTGACAGAGGCTCTGTGACTGGTGTGAAGTATAGGGATGAGGTCTTGGAGCCCTATGTTCGCCTTTTCCTAGTTGCAGTGGGCCCTGAGTTCATCTTACAGGACAATAACGCGAGGCCACAAACAGGTTTTCTGGTCGACGAATTTCTCGAGAGTGAGGATATTCGCCGGATGGATTGGCCAGCCAGGTCCCCCATACCTCAACCGTATAGAGCATGTCTGAGACGCTCTGGGGAGGGCAACTGCAACTCGCATCCCGCCTTCGAGAACCATCCAGGAACTGAAAACAGCGTTACTGAATGAGTGAGACCAATTGCCACAGGCACTGATAAACTGCCTTTCGTTTGTTCTTCTGCAGCCGCTGTCTCAGACCTTCAGACTCCCATAAGTGTTACAAATGAACATGTGTGTCTATTATAACTGTTGAATGTTTATTTTATTTGTATTATATCAACCTATGTTCACACCAAATTTTATTAAAATCTGTCCAGTACTGGAGATTGTAAATCAATTATGAAAATTCTCTTAATTTATTTCACCAGTGTGTTTTAAATTGTAGAAATATATTTATAGTCACCTTTATGCAATGCACTGCTGAAATTAAACTTTAAATAGTAATTTATCTTGAATTTTCTTTTTTTCTGAGACAGCATATGTAGGCAAAATTTGAAAATAGGCCAGTTCTATTATATTTAATCGAATAGTTTGATTTTTTTTTTAACGTCTACTGATTTTTCAGTATTTTGAGGATGAATTAAAAATTGCTAGAAGTCTCATGAAAAATAATTCTTGTACCCTTTTGCATACTAAAAATGATCCTGGGGATTCTCTTCCCACATCAATACTGCATTCTGTTGGACTGGTTCAAATGAAATGTCCAATTGCACACAATGAAAGTTCAGCCTCAGTTAACTGAAGTGTTATGACAAAATATCACAAGACAGGTTGTGGCATAAAGTCATCGTCAGGTGCAAGGTTGCGTTCAGATGGCTGCATAAATGTTACAGAGGCATAGTCACAAGGAATAAAATGTGGGAGTTCCATTCACACCTACAACACAGGGTATAAGTTGCACCCAATTACAGAAGTTAAATTTATACATGTGTTTGGATGTATCTACAGTTTCCCTGCTTTGTTTTCCCATTCAGGTTTCACGCGTTCGCTCCGACTTGTCGACGCTTATACCAATTTGTCATAAAGTTGAAAACTTCAAACTTTATGCCAAGAGCCTTAAACCAGATTTTGTGACGTGACCAGAAACTGGTTGCCTGGCAATGCAGCTCAGCTTATGCCCTTTATCTGAACACAGCTTACCACTATCAAAGTGAATCATGGAGTAAAACACAATTGTGAATACTTTTAGTTAAAACTGGTACACTCTACAAAACTTGTGGCACAAAACATTAGCATCACATTTGGCACTGTTATGCACTATGCCCCAATTAGTATATGAAATTCTGAGCAGGTGATAACAATACTTGAAAACAGCCTTATGCAATTGATCAATACCAGTTTTAAATTATCTTCATAAGAATATTATGAAAACTGATTCACATCAAAATGTTTTCACTACTGTAGGTAAGTCTCGTATATACTAAACCTCCATTGTTCTGCACCTCCATAGTGAAACAAATGGACATTAGTCAAAAAGGCATGCCATTTGCAAATATACAGTTTTTGTCCAAAAAATTAACGAGAAAGAATTTATTTTATAATGAAATTTCGTGTTGTGAAAATTATAAAAGCAATTTATATTGTTTTCATTTGGGTTTCATGATTAAGCATTTTTGGAAATAGTTTACCATTATCATTTTCATCGCTATCGTTTACAAAAATACAAAATGATGGTTGGAAATTCATCTTTTTATTTATTGTCATTTTATAGATTACTAATATTATTCACATTTTTAGTTTTTTTCCTATTTGGTTAAAACATGACCACTTTTGTTTTCAGTAAAGAGAATATTGACCTTTGAAAGGTGTTCCTTTGTCACTAGCACAATTTGTGCTATCATTACTTTTGCAAATACATTAGTGTAATATTCTACTCTGTGGAAAAACAAAAAGCACTAGCATAAGCCTTACTTTGAGTGGCATTATTTTATGTTTTAAAAAATTATGAGTAGCTAAATATCTTATAAAGTTATAAAAACAATGTAAAACAACAATAAGAGTGTGAAATATGGCATAAGACTGTAAATCTATACGAGATGCTATTCCAGGTTAAGTGGAAAAGTCAAGCTACAAATATGAAACATGCAATTCACTTTTAGCCGAAGACTGGTTAGTTTAAGTTATTCATATTGCAAAGCATGCAAGGGCCAAAGTGGAGTAATGCCATCATGGAGAACTTTCTAAGGAAAACTAACTCATATTCATGTCACACAGGGTTAAAATTGACCATGTAGCCAGCCTGTTTGCCTGGGATCCAACTCACAGTCAATGACTGCAGTTGCAAAAGCCAAATGTTGCTTTAAGACAACTGTTTACTGAAGAGTATATAACATATATATATAAGAAAAGATACCAATTGAAAAAAATATACAGCACGGGTTTTTTAATATCTTGAAAGTAAATTTTTTTAAAGTATTATTAATTTCTGTACTGATAAAATTACTTCTCCAATAAACAGATATTTCTGCTTAGGAATAACAAGTTCTTTCTTTATATTTATCATAACAGCTATAAAAGACAAAGGACAAAGTTTCTTTTTATATCTATTTTGTGTATTTAAGATATAATCAGGTGTATGATAAAATTTTATATTAATACATATAGATTGCAAGCCTTTTCACATGCTTTCACCTTTTTGAATGCTTTAGCCTTGTTAATATCATTTTATGTTCTAAAAAGAAATATAAAAGCAAACAAAGCTATTAAACTCTTTTTTTTTTTTTTAACTGAGATTGAATTTTATGCAAAAATCAAGATTTTGTTTTTTGACTTGGTATCATTTTTTTATATAGGAAGATAAATATTTATATGGTTTTTCAAATCAATAGTAATTTTAATAGTAAGATCTTTTAAATGTTAAGAATGCAATCTAGAATTTTCAAAGGAATAATAAAACCATACAGCAGCATATACCATATTATTGATAGTAAATGATAAAATTTAGCACTAGAAATATTACATTTTTTCTGTATTTTATTTCAATGTGCATTCACTTAATTACTACCTAACAGACCTAGCCTCACTTAATTACCTAACACAGAACAAAGGCTATTTCAACATATACGGATTGGATAATTAATACTGATTTATATGAGGGCAATTGGCTAGTGCTCATTTAGTTATGCCCTAACATATACATATTGTGAAGTTTTAGTTTCCAATTTTTGACAAAAAGTTTTAACAAAACAGTACCAGGTTTAAGTAAAATGCCGAACTAATATCAATTCAGAAGTCAAAACAAAAAAAAAATTGCAAATAATTCATTTCCTGTAAAAATTTGCCAATATAACACTGATTTTTGTTGTTTGTCTTCTCAGTTTAACAATGTACAAATACACTCACTTCCAAAAGTTAAGCGTGGAGAGGAAAAGGCTAATTTCCGGAAGCCAATCAGAATTAAAGAAGATGCAATTCACTGCAGAGGTAGATGGAAGTATGCAAATATGTTAGGTAACAGCCAATCGCACTCTCATGTCAAGAA